TTCGATCCCGGGTCTGGTAAAGTGGGATTTGTGGTGGATAAAGTGGCACTGGGGCAGGTTTTCTCCTAGTACTTCGGTTTCCCCAGCCAGTCTTCATTCCACCAATTCCTCCACAATCACCCTCACCTATCATATGGGGCTGGTACAATAGGCCAGAAGTGGCGCAGTACAAAGGACTTAGTCCCACCCCACTAGCAATAAAGAAAGCTCTGCTCACTGACCATCCTTACCACCTCATATTCTTGTTGTCGGGTTAATTATTCAGTGGTTGGGCAGCAGTAAACTAATTTGAAATTATTTACAATCTTCGTGAAAAGGGGGGAGGATGGATAAGGAGATGGTAGTGGAGGGTCGCTAGTTTGAGTCGTTAGAGATAAGATTCAGTCTCAGCGTTTTTGGCAGGATCTCGCTTATTCACAGAGCCACTTTATTGCAACAATTGTCACTGGTGAACACCTTCAATCAACTAGATTATGCTTGCTTTTCTTTTATTTAGGAATGACACTGATTGTTGTGGAAGTACTTAAACAGCTTACTTAAGCTTCAAAAAAGATTTCAGAGATACTAAATTTCACTTTAGGCTAAATCGCTAGTCAGTAGGTAGCTCCACTCACAGATTCTTTAATCACTTACACTGGAACTTAGAATTTCTATTAAAACTTGTGGAAATACAGATTTTGCATCCAAAAAATCTGTGAGCTGGAATAAAACTAACTTAACAGACTGACTTCTCTCAAAACTAGAAGTGCTAATCGCTTCATATCGACCCACGAGTCACTTCCTTAAGTTTCGAGGATTGGTCAAATTTGAACAAGAGGAGTTTACCTCATTTAAACTCCAATGACCTAACGTATGAGTATGAGAGGTGAGCCATAAAACTGGCCCTAGCACTGTGACCTTCAGTGGTGTATTGTGCTTCCCCTTTGCATTAACCATTTATTAATCATACACTTCAAATGAAATGTAGGACTTTGTTTACAGGGGCATCATAAAAGTCACTTGGTTCCATGAAGAATTGACCCAGGTGGCGATATCTTAAATAAGCTATAGCCCCATAATCACATAGGATGTGTGTGGCTGATTCATCATCTTGTAGACACCACTCACATGTTGGGTCCTCTGTCAGTCCAAGTTCGGAAAGGTGTCCTTTTAGGTGGCAGTGTCCAGTAAGTAATCATACCACCCATCTGAGCTGATCTCTGTCTAATTTTAACAGGTCCTTCGTTCTTTTCACAGAGGGTCCTGATATAAATCCTTTTGCCTGTTTGAGTCCAGTTATGAAATCTCAGTGTTTTTTGTGATTTTTGTTAGTCCAGTCCCTGATCGCTTTCTTGTCATATCCAGTTGAGATGCCGCAAGCTGGTTCAGGTCCTGTGGATGGCTGTTCAGATCCTGTTCTTGCCAGCTGATCTTTCTAAACGTAAATTCAAGGTCTCGGTTGAAGGCGAAATGTCAACGCCAAGGGAAATGCAAGCAGGGGTACCACAAGGTTCTGTCCGTTCTCCTACTCTTTTAAACTTGTACGTTAATGATGCCCCCCAATCTCATGGTGTTAACCTGGCCCTCTTGCGGACGACACCTGTCTATATGCGACAGATCGCAAGGAGTGGTTCACTGCTAGAAAATTCCAGCGCGGTCTCAGANCAGCTCAATGGAGACCTGGTGTGAGCGCTGGAATATAAAAATTAATGAAGACAAGACTCGGGGGGTCTACTTCTCTCGTGGTCGTCGACCGCCTGAGTCTTGTCTTACTCTAAATGGAAGAAATATTCCATTTGTAAATAGTGCAAAATATCTAGGTGTAATCTTCGATAAGAGAGTGACATGGAAATTACACATAGAAATGATCGAAGCCAAGGCCTTCAGAACATTCATTAGAGTATATTCCCTATTCAAAAGTGAGTGATTGAGCGCTAACATGAAACTGACCCTCCATAAAGCTCTTATTAGATCCGTAATGACTTATGCTCGTCCCGCCTTGGAGTTTGCGGCAGACACCCATCTAATGAAATTCCAGCACCTGCAAAACAAGGTTCTCCGCACCATTGGCAATTTTCCGAGGTGCACACCGGTCCGCGATTTGCACATGGCATTCAAAATCCCGTACGTATATGATTACATAACAAAATTATGCGGGCAACAAGCAGAAGTCATACAAAATCATAAGAATGAGAATGTTCCCAACATCGGACTAGGTGAAGCCCGCCACAGAAAGTATAAGAGGCTTAAACTTGGCGGCGGTCAGGCATACGACCGTTCAAGTGACTAGACTGCCGTGGTAGCGAATAATACTGGAAATAGTGCGTTATCTGCCGTACTGAGCCTGGACTGACAGAGGCCTTGTATATATTGCACATAAAAGTAAAAAATAAGTGTGTATTGTATATTTATGTAAATACAGACAGTGGACATATTTAAACAGACTGACTGACAAATGACAGACCCGACCTCTCGTCAGAGAGGACGCACCACATAGACTAATTTTGTCATATATCCTGTCCAGTACTGAAATAGAAATTATATAATTTTTCTCGTATTCTGTAAGATATTAATTTTGCCACATAATCCTGTCCAGTATTGTAGTGGAAGATAAATATCAGATTTCCAGTATTCTATTAGATATGTTATTAATTTTGCCATATATTCTTGTCCAGTACTGAAGTAGAAGATGAATACCATGCTTCCAGTATTCTATAATATTAATTGGCCATATAATTCTCTGCATTACCAAAATGAAAGATGAATATTAGATTTCCACTATTCTGTAAGATATGTTGTAATTTAGCCATATAATCCCGTCCATTACTGAACGTCATTCTAATAAAATTAATAATAAATGGAAACGCCAGTATTACTGCTTGCCATATATGATTTATAATGCTTTAATTTGACCAAAAACTATGTTTTGTGTAGCTTTCAAGTGTAACTTGTTACCAAAGGTGTGAGGTTAAATAGAAGTATGTCTGATGAAAACGGAATTTTCTTTCAAGTTTCCCACCTTCAGCTTTCCTAAAGACAAGTATTCTATGTACGTTATAGTTCACAATGTCCAATGCATTTTGGGTAAGGAGATGTTGGATTGGTATGAATGAAATGTTCTTACTTTACAGGCACTGGTGAGAAACTTTCTGATTATGCAACCCTCTTCCCTTGTGTGTGTGCTTTTTATAACTGGGTTCAATATCACTACACTAGTATCCTTTGGAACGGATATGAGTTAAGTGATACTGAACCCAGTTCAGAAAAAGAGAAATAGAACAACGGACTAATAATATCTGCAGCACAAGAGATATTTTAATTGTTTCTTGCATCCAATTGTGTATTTAATCAATATTAAAGTCAATTTTACCGACCACACAACATATTTTTATTATTATTATTACACTACATGTTTCGACCTCAAAAGGTCATCCTCAGGTGTACGAACACAGCTGTATAATTACACGCAGTCTGGATGGCTACACGACAAGGACCGAAACAGATCCAGCAACATCAGAGGACGCGGAAGAACAGCGAGACATCCAAAAAGTGAAAAGTGCAATTAACATAATAAAATTGAACTTTAATTCATGAACTTTTTAACCTATAATAATTAAACTAGTTAAAGTGAACTTGACGCAGGGATGAGCGTAAGTAGGAAGTGACTGGATAACAAGAAAAGCGAAAGCATAACTAGTGATCTGAATTGAAATTCGATTCTCAAATTTTAATTTTTTAAATTTTAACTTTTGACATTTAGAATAATATTTTAACTTGTGTTTTGTGAGAGGAGCTTGATATATTATTGAGCGTGGGCCTGAATAAGATAAAGGATCGAAAAAGTGAGAAGACAAATGTGATTGCGTGTAATTATACAGCTGTGTTCGTATTCTTGAGGATGACCTCTTGAGGTCGAAACATGTAGTGTAATAATAATAATAAAAATATGTTGTGTGGTCGGTAAAATTGACTCTAATATTGACAAGAGGTACTATTGCAAAATTATTTATTGCTATTTATGTGAACTGATGAATCTGTCGGGCAAAATAGGGGCGAGGGACGGGAGGACGCCTAGGATGGTACGGTAGCATTCTATTTTATTGATCATATTTTCGGTGCTGGTGGCCATTTTTTTTTTTCTTAAAAGAAGAATTGAAAGGAAAATAGAGGATGTACTTGGAGAAGATCAGTTTGGATTTAGAAGAGGAAAAGGAACCAGGGATGCAATTGGGATGATGAGAATTATAGCGGAACGAACTTTCGAGATAGATGAAGAACTGTGTGTTTGCTTCATAGACTGGCAGAAGGCATTTGACCGGGTAAACTGGACCAAATTAATGCAGATCCTGAAAGAAACAGGTATCGATTGGCATGAAAGAAGATTGATTAGCAAATTGTACATGGATCAGAAAGTTAGAGTACGACTGGACAGGGGGGAGACAGGAAGTGTGCAGATTGGAAGAGGAGTTCGACAAGGATGCTGTTTATCACCAATTCTGTTCAACTTGTACAGCGAATGCCTTACCAAGGAAGCTCTGGATGGGCTCGGTGACTTCAAAGTAGGAGGGCAAATTATTCAATCTGTGAAATATGCAGATGACCTTGTGTTAATGGCTAAGGAAGAAACTGTGCTACAGGGCATGATTGATAGACTAATTGAAATTGGAAGGTGCTATGGCATGGAAATGAATGTGGAGAAAACAAAAGTAATGAAAATTTCGAGACAACCAACCCCAGTCACAATAAAGATAGACCAAAAACAAGTGGAGAATGTGAAATGTTTTAAATATTTGGGTAGCTTGTTAACAGATGATGGAAGGTGTACTTGTGAAATTAAATCCAGGATTGCCATGGCAAAAGCTGCATTTAGCAAGAAGAAGAATCTTTTTACCAGGGGGGAGCACTAAAAATAGTTGGTAAAGTAGCATACGTTGTTACCGATTGTGCTCTCGGCCCAGGACGCCATTTTAAATTTAGGTCCTGTATGCCCGAGGTGTCATGGCGGCCATGTTTCCGAGCAATAACATGAGAGTTTCGCGGGGCCAGTCATGAGCGTCATGGGGGCGTTGAGGTCTTGAGGCCTGATGGTCTGTGGTGAACAGGTTGAATTTGCATGGTTTACAAATGCGTAGTGAATACTGTTATGCAGTTCCGAGATATAAATCTGTAGATTATGTTTACCGTTTGTAGGATGTAACTCTGTGCAGTCCGGTAGCTTCTTAACGACGTTTGGAAGCAAGAGGTTCGCTCGAAATGAGTGAACCAACTGTACTCGAAATTTCAGCAACAGTCTCTCAGACTGCACAGTGGTTAATAAGATACCAAGATTCATAGTCTCTGATGTGAGAACAAAGAAATCAACAATAATATGTGTTTGTACACAATCATTAGTATGTTTTCTTACAGACTTGGACAAATATTTGCGTCTAGGTACAGGTACACTTGTTAGAAATATCGATGCTGTATCACTAGGACTCTTGTAAATCAATTTATATGCAACCTACAAAACATCATGTGTGATAAAAAGAAGTTTCCAGGTTATGAAAGATTCTGCATTCTCTTGTAACAGGAATGGTAATAATTCTGCTACACAGAGCTGAACAGATATTTCCTGCTGTGAGAGAGAGAATGGTGAGTGTTTTGTGCTTGTGTACACAGAAGAATTATATTGTCATCTGTCAGTTCTCATAACCTAAAAAACTAAACATTTTATGCGAAGCTTTGTTAGTTTTCCTACACCATCTGCGGAGTTCACTTGGTTCTTCACATTATAAGAGTTCGCTGTATTATGTGGGAGAGGAATCAATTCAAGGAGAGTGTTAATGGTTAGGTTATATAGTGCTCATGTGAGAATGAGAAGTGTGTACAAAGATTGGGACAAGACCTGATAGAATGAGAACACTTGGGAAATATTTGTGCAGATGAATTTTAAAAATATAATTTTGTGGGGGTTGGACTGGGTTTGTTTTTGTCAGGATTCAAAGTCATGCGGAACATGTGTGAACACTGTAATAAGCCGTTACGTACCATAAAGTGCAGATATTTTGTGTACTTCCAGAGGGAGCATAAGTTTCTCGGGAAGGTTCCTGCATTATGAACTTAAACATTTTCAAAGATTTTAATTCTGGTTAGAAGAAACCTGTACAGAGCAGGTGTTATGGGTTAGATGTAATGAAAACCTGCTACAATAAGTGAGCATACATTGTTTCATGTATAATTTTGTACAGCCATTACTGATAAAAGATATGATGGTTTTACAGAACTGTACAAATTCAGAGAATGTTTTAGTGGGTCCATGTGGTGAGACATACCCAGCAAGTCATGATGCAAACCAGGCCATGAATATAAAAGCTGAGGAAGTCACAGACTCAGAAGAGGAAGTGGATCCTTTGAAAATAACAGTTCAGGAAATAAAGGCTGAACCTGAGGTGAGCTGAATGTTTCTGTATGTGCACTGTTAGCCAGATATCACAAATATGCAGAAATGCCAGTTATCTTTCTCATATCCATCTGTCTATCTGTCTGCCNCTACATGCTCATTCCTTCTACTCTTTAGATGAATACTTCAATGTAAATAGAGAATGATGTAAAATTAAGTTATATTAATTTTTAAGCTAAAATTGCCTGTACTTATGTATGTAACCTTTTGACTTGTTCTGTATCCAAAGGTACTAACCTACTTAGGATTTATAGAATGTAAATAAATTCAATTCAATTCAGTAGTATGACAATGTGCTGCGTGTTTCAGCTTATGAAGCTGTCATCAGGCAGGATGCGTTAAATATTTTCAGACTATTGAAATGTGCTTTATATGAATTCATATATAATAATTATTACAAATGTACCTGATTTTCAAATTAGTTAGTACATTCAACATTTATCTGAATTATAAGAGTCATGATGGGAAGTCATAATGTTTTCATTATCACCATGAGGAAGTCTTAATTCCAAAATATACTTCTATATAGGAGATATCCTGAGTTTGCTGAACAGTCAAATTTTCCCCTGCCAACTGGACAGAGGGAGCCACTGGAAAAGGCAGAAGCAAAATGGTAACATCAGTTGAGAAAGTGGAGGCTTGTGCTGTGATACAGTTCCTGCATTAGCGAGGGAAGTCTGCCACGGAGACCCACGACCAGACAACCGCTCTGTATCAGGAAGTTGTACCATCATGTAACTCAGTGGTCAGGCGGAAGAGGTGCTTTCATTGTGGACAGACAAACGTTGAAGATGAACCCTAAAGTGAAAGATCATCTCTAGCTAAGGAACCGGAAATTGTGGCACAGGTGGAAGCTTTGATCCTATCCGATTATTCATGGGTCGGTTTTCAGCATCATCCGTGATGAGTTACACATGACAAAGGTTGCTATGCGTTGGCTGCCACGATTGTTGACACCAGTTCCAAAACAATGATGGATGTGGCAAAGAAACATTTGCAGTTGTATCAAGACAGAAAGGTGGAATTTTTTGACCACCTGATCATGATGGATGAATGTTGAGTCTTTCATTATGACCCTGAAACAAAGGAAATGAGCAAGCAGTGGAAACATGCAGACTCGCCACTACCAAAGAAGGCCAGATCCCAGCTGTCATCAGGAAAGATGATGTTGAGCATGTTCTGGGATCGGTGGAGTGTCATCATGACTGACTATATGCGCAAAAAGGGTATCACCATCACTGGCAAGTACTACTGGAACCGTCTGTGAAAATTACGGGAGGAAATAAAAAAAAAAGTGATGTGGAATGCTGGGAAAAGTTGTGCGACTTTTTCACGGCAACACACCGGCTCATACTGCTCTTCCTACAGGGACACTTGCTGCCGGTTTGGGATATGAAATTCTCCCCCGTCCACCATATTCACCAGACCTGGCACCGAGCGACTTCTTCCTCTTTCCACAGCTAAAGGAGCAACTTCGTGGTAAGCGATTCCAGATGATGATGACAACATTTCTGCAGTGGAGGACTTCCTAAACAGTTAAAATGAGACCTTCTATGATCAAAGTATCCAGCAGCTAATGCATCGTTGGGGAAAATGTGTGTCCTTGCAGGGGCATATGTAGAGAAGGTTTAACTCACAATTTCTATCATCTGTGTCTCTGTTTCTTCTGGGTGATAATTTAAATTTTATGACTTCCCCCATGTATACTAATTCAAATGAATGTTGAACGTATTAACTAATTCGAAAATCAAGTATATGTAATACTTATTATATTGTAAGCGGCCTCCATAGTCTAGAAGTAACGTTCCCACCTCATGACTCGTGGTACGCGGGTTCAAATACCTGGCGGAGGTCATCGAATTTTTAAGGGCGGAAAAATTCAGGGGACAAGTCCTCCGGGAGGGACTTTAAGCCGTGTGTCCCGTGTTGTAACTTTACAGCATGTGAAAGAACCTCATATCGCCTAAGGAGATCACTGAGCAAAATTCCAGGATATTTCCCACCCAACAGTAGTCTCTAAGGTCTCTGATAAATGGGGGAAGTATTATAGACACCATCAAGCAATTGAGGCCGAACTTGCTTGCTTGGTGGGACTGATGGTACACACCATTATCGGTAGGGTATAGAGACTGGTAGAATATCATAGAGGGAAGCACAATGGACCAATACTGGTCTAAGTGCATGGGGAAACCCACCCTCTCCAATAACTAACTAACTATTATGTTGTAACAAATGAATTTGTATAAAGTGCCGTTCAGTACTTTGAAAAAGTTAGTTAATGTATACTGCCTGATGATGGCTTTATAGACCGCAACATGTAGCACATTGTCATAATATGAAAACCAATAAACTCATTATACACAGTAAAAGGTGAATGAGATTCTGATAGTTATTGTGTTGAGGCAGAAAACAAAATGAAGTGTTGTTATAATCTGTTGAATTTTACTTGTGATATACCACTTCCATTTCCTTTTAAGCAGTTCTAATGTAGATGAAATTAACTGAACAGTGATTCAGAGAAATTCTATAGCAGCAGAAATCCTTATGGAGTTACAGAACTGTTCAGTTATTTACTGGTACACTTACTAGAACTAAGAATTTAAATTAGTAGGACTCTTGTGAGCTAATTCCAATGTACAACACAGAATATAATGTGATAAACAAGTTTCAAGTTTATGAAAGATTCTGCATTCTCTTGCAACAAGGGTGCGAAGGATTGTACTGTATAGAGCTGAAGAAACATTTCCTGCCGTGAGAAAGGATGTTTCATGCTTGTGTGCACAGAATAATTTCATTTTCATGTGTCAGTTGTCTTAACCAGAGAAACT